CCCCACCGCGCTCGCCGCCCCGTCTGGCTCGCTCCGCGCCGGCCACCGCCTCCCCTTCCCTTCCGGCGAGGGCGGGGGGCGGAGCCTGCGCTCCCGGGCGCCCCCTCCCCACGTGGAGCCACCCTCTCCCGCGGCAGCTGAATCTCCGCCCCCGGCCCCCGAGGCACGACTCCCGACCCTTCCCGGTCCCAGAGGGAGGGGGGACCAGGAGGGGTGCTGGGAGGCACGACTCCCCCAGCCCGGGGTCCTAGAGTGCATTGACGACTCCTTCGCTTCCTCCAATCTGGGGGTCCCCAGGGTGCACAGCCCAGGGGGTCGGGCACACGTCCCCATGCGGGGGGCGGCACTGTCGGGGCTCACCATGCGCCCTGCCTTGTCGAGACGAGCAAAGATAACAGAACACAACCTGTGCTGAGTGCCACCAAGGCCTGCCGCGCCGCGGGACATCAGGACTGCCCCGACAGAAACCCCATGCCCTGTTAACCCAAAAGTTCCCCCTTCTTCCTCTTGGACAATTGTGCCTCATTCTTCTAGGTGCTTAGATCACCAACCTGCCACCAGCCTGGTCCAGGTCCCATCCAAGCCCGCCTGGCCCTGTGCTCAGCAGCCCGCAGTGGCACCCCTTTCTCCTCCACTGAGTCAAAGGCCCCGTTCAACTGCAGGGCCTTTGCACCTGCAGGTGCTGAGCCTGGAACGCTCTTTATCAGCCTCAAGATTTCCTCCCTCACCTCTAACTCTTACCCAACGGCAAAATCTCCGTGTGTCTCCTCTTGAGTGCCTTTGCCAACATCGCAGCTCCCGCCCCACACTCCCATCCCCCGCTGCACTTTGCTTCTCTCCGGGGCCCCGCACGTTGTCTGTTACTTGCTCCTGTGTGTGGTGTCCCTACTCACCCCTGCCCCCACTACACGGTGAGCTCCAGGGATGGGAGCACAGGTGACACCTCTAAGGGAGGGCAAGGGGTAGCCAAGTGGACAAACACCCCAGAGAGCTGGCTCCGAGCGAGCGGGAACTGCATGTGCAAAGACGCTGAGGTAGCAAAGTGTGTTAGCAGAAGAAGCTCAACGTGTTGGAGGGAGCACGGGAAACCATCTTGCGGTTCCCAGCAGGTTCCTCCGACTGTGGGCGAAGACATCCGTGGTGAGGCCAGCGGAGGAGACTGGGGCCACCCAAGCCTGTGATGGCAGCTGCAGTGGCCGAGCTGGGTGGGTCCACCGAATTCCAGGACAACCCCCGGTCTGGGACTTGAGTAACCACCGTGGAATGGGGATTGGAGAGAAACCGTCCAATGGATGGGTTTGAGAAGCCGATTACATGAGGCCTCCATATGGGGTCCGGGCTTAGAGATCAGGGCTGAGCACAGGACTCCCTTCCACCCCAGGGCCAGAATGCCCAGGGCATTGGGACTGACGCCCCGAGTGCCCCTCACAGTGCTGGCCCAGAGGAGGGGTGTGGGCGCCAGGCCGGGGCCTCCTTGGACTGCGCGGGTGCTGGGAGGCCGGAGCGCGGGGCAGCGCCTCGGGGATCGGGCAGGGAGCCGGGCGCACGCTCCCTGGGGTCGGGGGGAGCAGCTGCAGAGCACCTGCCCACCCGGGCCCAGCCGTGACGCCGCTCCCCTGCGCCCCGCACCCTGCGCCCCCCGCTCCTCCACCCGG